TATCTCTCTACATCTCCTAACTATGCAATTCTTTCTGTCTGTTAGCCATGGGTTGTCTCCTCTGCGTGATTGAAATAAATCCGACCTGGTACACAACATATGCACCATTCTACTTCTCAATCCCTCTAAATCTAGTTAGTCATATGTTTCACCCTCTGCGAGATTGGAAGAGATCTGACCTGGGTGTACAACATATGCATTCTAAATCTGACTTATCCCATAATAATTGTCTGCTCATCTAAAGTAAGGAGTATTTTGGAAGTACCTGATTATCGGGGTATATCAGGAAGCTGGAAACATGTTCTAGTACATATAAAATCGAACAATTAATAGGTTGTCTGTAGATCTCGCTGCTCAATTTAGGTGGACAACAATATCCTTGGTCGTCGTCAGATGAATGGTCCTTAGGAATTTTATCTAGGAACGTAAGGTCATAATGTCTTGTCACTTGTAGTATGTCCTAATTTTGTCACAATCTTTCGTGTTTAAGTGGACCACAATACCGACGATTGGCCAGATCTATTCATGAAGGGGGAGGTACCGATAAACGGATTGAGACTGTCTAATAACTTTGATCCCAAAATCAAAAAGGGTTATCTGTAATGGTGAAAAAGGAAATTTGTGTTAATTCATTTTTATTTTTATTTTTATTTTTAATTTAATTTAATTTTATTTTGTCTTTCTAAAAATCAAAAATTAAAAAAAAATAGTTTAGTTTAAATTTTTTAGATTTTATGTTATTTTTATTTTTATTTTATTTTTTTTAAGTCTTCAAAATGTATTATTTATAAATAAATTGTAGTATTGGGCTTGGATTTGAAGCTCTTTGGGTTTGTAGCCCACTAGACTTGGACCGGGTAGGGTCCAGGTATATAAACCGGAGTTGGCAGCCGTTCACCCTTTCACTCTCACTTTCAGTATACGGCAGTGAACACCTTCACCGAGTTCTCTCTAATCGACTTCTTGATTCATCAATTTTTCGTGAAATTGTTTGTTTATTCGCGTAGGTATGATCAAGACGACCTCAAATATGCTAAATCCATCAAGAATCAACCGTGTATTAAGTGTTAAATCGAAGAAATCAGTGTTTTCGGCGTTCACGGCTCCGTTGAAGCGTTCACGGCCCGTGAATGGTTCACGACCTTTGAAGCGTTCACGGCCGTGAACCTTCTTCGACCGTGAACACACATTCTGACCGTGAACAATTTTTAGACATGAGTAAAACCTACTCTTAGTTGTTTAAAACAGTTGGTTTCTCACTTGGCTTGGTTAAGTGCAGATCAAAATGGCTGCTTTGAAGATATCTGACAACCACAATGTTGCTATTTTTCTGATGGGTCCACCAGCTACTCACAGCGACTTCAAGTCCATGATTCATGCTCAAAGAAGATGGTGAAGTTGTCTCCGTCGATGCTACTACAAATGGAAGAAAAGTCTCAGTAACCGAGCCAGTCATTCGTGAAGTTCTCCAGATCGATGACCAGCGGGTTTTCCAACTAAAATTACAATGAACCAGACCAATGAAATTGTCGTTCGCATGGGCTATGAGGGTGGATTTCCTCCAACTATCAAGAAATTACTGCCACCCTACTGGAGGTTCTTGGTCCACGTCTTTGTGAGTTACATTTCGGGAAGAAGAGTCGGGGCTGATGAGGTCTTGTTGCACAACACAGGAGCAATTGCTGCTTTGGCTGCCAGTCTAGACTTCAATTTTTCAAAGTTCATTCTAAATGACATGGTAGGCAACCTTGAAGGCAAAGGAAAAGACAAATTTCTCATGTTTCCGAGGTTCCTTCAGATGATCTTTAACAAGAAATACCCGGAACTTGATATGAGAGGAGAAACAATCGATCTGAAGTCCCTCGGCTCTAGCACATTTGGGCTTATGAAGCAGAACAGAAAGGGAATGTTCATGTTTCAGGGCAAATATCCTCTGGTGAAATTTGGAAAATTCACTGAAGTTAGTGATTCATCCGCTACTGAAAGCTCATCAACACACGAAGAATCTGAAGATGATGTGATCACTGTTTCTGAAAAAGAAGAAGAGCCCGTTACTCCTGTTGCTATAGTTGCCGATGAGCATGTTCTGGTATCAAATGAAGAAGCAAATGAAGAGAATGATGGTGATGATGCTGATGATGATGTCGAGGAAGGTGATCTTGAGAAAGGATTGATGGAAAATATTGTAGAGGAAGATTATGAAGAAGATACGGGTTTAGGTGGTGATTTATCTGGCTTTGACAATGATGACATTTCATTCAGTTTTGAGCATGGCGAGTATAAATGAGGAGCTCAACTCCTTCTTTGACAATGTCGATGAAGTTGCTCAACCGACAATAGAGACAGGGGGAGTTGGTGAAGTTCAAAAAGTAATGCCTCCTACCTCCGAACAGATGGCCGAAACTACAGAAATACCGGATACAACGCCAAGGATTCCTCCCCTTCATGTTGCTATTCCAACCTCTTTGCCATCTGAGAGTGATCTTGTGATGTCATTTGCCTCCCAGCCTCTGTTGAAAAGAAGGCGAGCTGACCCGAGGCCGGGAGTGCTTGTTAGGGATCAAGAACCACTAGTGCAACCACCTACCACAGCTGTTACACCGCTTCAACCTACCCATGAAGAACCAAGCAATGTCCGATCTTTTCATGAAGTCGGGAGTTCTTCAGCTCCTGGGGGCTCTCCTCCACGACCTGCGCATGATGCTGCCTCTGAGAGGCTTGCCAGGTTGTTGGCACAACAAGGTTCAGTCCCTTCCCCTCGTGCCAAAGGTATATCTATTGGGGAAGGCAATTCAGGGGGAGCAGACCCATCTGTGTCAGAGCTCAAGAAAGAAATTAGTGTGCTGAATCAGAGAATCATTGAGATAGATGTTTTGATTGATAACCTCAAAACCCAAGTCTCAGAGCTTAAAGCAGACAGTTCTCTGAAGACAACACATATCTCTGATTTACAAACTCACCTTGGAGCTTTGATTGCCTGTTACTTCGACCTCAAGAATAAGCTGGCTATGGAATTTGGTGACAAATTCAATTCATCTTTCGGATAACCAGGCGGAGCTGAGACCTCTACCATTGATCCTGCCCAAGCTACACAACAAGAACCCCCTGTTGATCCTCCCACTGTAAGAACAACTCGAGTAGTTGATCGATTTGAACATGAGCCAGTTCAAGCTCCTCACATAGTTTCTTTGAAGCGAGCTCAACAAGCATCATCTTCTAAGAAACAAAAGTGGATGTTCAAAAAGAACTCAGATCAGAACGCTCGATGAGGTCAACCCCAACTCACTGTAATAGAACTCAAGAAGATACGATTTGGTTCCAAGTACGGTGATCGTTCAGGAATTGTGTCGTGGGGTTTTCATGACAAGTTGAATATGTGGCTTGTGAAGCGCAAAAGTGCGAATGTGGAGTATTACAAGGACAAACATAATTTTTGTTCATGGACGAGAGTTGATATGTCTGAACTTGCTAATGCTCCCTTTGCTAATCCATCCAATGATCCACGGGCAACAGATTTCAAGCTTTTTTTGGAGAATCAAGTGAAAAAGGGTTTTACTGATATGAAGACTGCCGAATCTTTCATCAAGAGCTTCCCAGATGTGCTGGATCCAAATACCAACGAGCCTTTGAAGACGGTGATGTGGCCTTCTACTAACCAATTGAGACAGATTCCTATAGTGCAGAACTTCCGCGATGGTTCACTAAGAAATATGCTTACTGGGTCTATGATGAAGCCACAGCTTCTGCTATCATCAGATTTCCTGAAGGTGTATATAGGATATATGACAAGAAGGATCTGCTTCAGTTTGGAAAATGGGATATACACTATCTGGTTCAACATCAAATCCAGGTTGCTGAAGATATTTTTGAAGCTACTGCTAAGGAGTATACTTTGATGGTTGTAGAGATTATGGAGAAGGAGATGTGGCTTGGCTCAATGGGGAGGTCAGATGTGCTCATAATCAAGAAAGACTGAATCAATGATATCCCCAAACCAAGGGGGAGATTTTTAGGTCACATTTTATGGTTTGGGCTAGGTTTCTTTATGTATAAGTCTTGGTAGGGTTTTGGTCTTGTTGCTTTAGTGTTTGCGGCCGTGTAGGTGTTCACGGCCGTGAACTTGGTCACGGCCGTGAACTGTGTTCGGTCTTGGTCCTTTATATAGTGTCAAAATGTGTCAGTGCTCAGTGAGCGAGTCAAACAGTCGTGTGTGTGTCTCAAGGTGTACTTGACGTTTTGATCAATAAATGTGTGCATTGCTAGATTAAATCTTTCTTCTACTCAATTCTTATTCATTTTGATTGTTCATTGTTTGATCACTGGTTTGGTTCCTTGAATTTGGGACTTTACAGTGATACAATGGGCGAAAACCTCAACTATCAAATAATTACAAAACAACCTCTATACTTTTAATCAGTCCTTTAATCCCAAAATTAATTTTAAATTAATTTCTGATTAAATACTAATTAATAATAAGATTTCCAATTAATATATTATTCTTATAATATATTAATAAATCATATTTATGCACAAATTTATTATTCTAAATAATAAAATAAGCCTCTCTCTCCAACAATCATCCTGTTTAGCTGTCAGTGTGAAGGCAACCTAAAAGGACCATGCTACTATCAAATCAAGTACATACCAATTATAGTTATAGGCTTATACACCTAATCCAACAAAAACACACACAAAGAGGTCAAATCTTCTCTAGATGTGTTAGGGTTTCGAAATGAGGCTCAAAGGGTAATGGAGGATGGGAAATGAGAGGATCATGGGTCATACTGTTGCTTAAATAGGGTCCAAATCCTAAAATTAGGGTTTGTCCTTTGATTGCGTACGCCATGTGTACGGGAAGTATGCCTAGCGTACTCCCATTTTTCCTAAAATGGAAACATTGCCCCCTAGGGACCAAATTTGCAAACTATTTACACACTAAGGGTCAAAATGAAAAGCACCTTGGATTGGGTGTTACACAATTGAAAAAGTGAGATTACTTTATGTGGAAGGATGACGAGCTACCTGAAGGTTACTATAAAAACTTAATCAGGTCTTTGAAGGAGAATCTGGATATGAGGGAAGAACTTGTTGAGTTAGCCATGTTGAGGAAAAAAGTGCAGGAGCAGGAGTATCTACTATCAAAGGAGAAGGAGTTGGTGATGAAACTAGATAATGAAATCATAAAGGAGAAGGAGCATGCGCTCAAACTTCAGAAAAAACCGGATGCTTCCATGCAGGAAGCTATGAGGTTGAAGATAATCTTTTTGTGTGTTGTGGTGGGGTTGTTCATTTGGTTAGTTAAATCTAGTAATTAAAGTGGATGTGGGATTTGTGGGCTCTAGGCTGATTACTATATATAGTTAGTTTGATGTGTTAGTTTTCCAATCATTTTTTGACAACCATGGTTGATGATGTATGGATTATGTTGCCTTTGATAGTAGGTCGGTTTTGTTGGAAATTAGCAAGACCCTGTAATGGTATCCCTTATTTAATATAACTTAACGACAAGTGGTATTCTATATATAATGGGATTTATTGTATGTGTTCCACCATTATTTGTTTCCCTTTGTTTAATGTGGTTCATTCTGTGTTTGCCACATGTGGTACACCATTACATACTTGCTATAATATAAGGTCCATTTTAGTCATTAAAGTATACACCCATAGAACCATATTGGCCTTTATCAACCATGCAACCTATACATTGACATTTTTCCTAAAATAACAATCAACATTCATAAGGTTTACTTGTTCATAAACTGCATAAAAAACTTCCATAAATACCAAAATTTCCCATGATAATGGGTATTTTTGCAATCAACATTTAAGCATTTTACTTCTTCATAAACTACATTGTACATATTTAAAATATAACAAGGTCAAATCATGAAAGCAACACACAATATCACACATAAAAGGATCAAACATATTAACCCTAAACTATAGCAAGTGGTTTCTCCTGTGAATTTTCTAGAACACTATCACCGCCAACTTTCTTGCTCAACTTCACCTTTATGATTCTTTTCTATTTTCTTCTCCTGATCCCCTTCAATATTTCAGAAATTGGTTTCACACGAATCTCCCTTTGCACTTGAACTTGTGCACTACCACAAGCTCCCTGAACTTGTGCATTAACACCAAATTTTTCAGTTGGTGTAACTGGCACTTCTGTTGGAGTAACTTGCACCTCAATTGGAGTGAGTTCCACCTCCTCATGTTCCTGCCCTCCTTCATTAACCTACAAGTAATGTTACATTAATATTTTGTGATAATGCATATGTAACTTCAATTAATATTAAAGATAGTATCGTCCCTTGTGCACTACCACCATCTTGATTGACACCTACTCCATTATTTCCACCTTCACTAACCTTTTTTTCTTCCTTGTGTTAAGATGATCTAGTCCTTTTTTAGGGCAAGTGGCCTTGTTGTGACTAGGCTCCCTGCATATGCTACACTTAATTCTCCTTCCAGCCTTTGATACCTTACAACTAGCAAGTCTTTCAACAACACCCCTCTAATAACGTCCCAAAATTCCTAAAAAAAAAAATTCATTTTTCATAATAATAAAACCACCAACCAAACATGTTCATAAAAACATAAAGGAAAATCAGAGTAATTCAATCAATCGTCTCCATACATAAGAGTCATATAAAGCGGAAATCATGGTGTGTGTGTTGTGATGCGATCACCCTGAGCTCTTCCCTTTCGATCCGGAAGTATCTGAAACATAAACTAAAAACCATAATCACGAAGCTTAGTGAGTTCCTCAAAATACCTCATACCATACATACCAAACATACAATGGGCCATGCCCCACAACCATCGGGCCCCGCCGGAGATCGAGCCCCACTTGGAATAGATCTGTCAGAACATGAACACATACAAGAATCATTAAGATAAATAGCATACAATACACCCATCAGGCCTCGCCTGGCATCAGACCCCGCCCGGTATACATATCACACACTACACATGCAAGAGTCATAATGACAACTAGCATCCTAATCATGATAAATCATGGTCTGACATTGGTGCCTCTGAACCGTCAAGCATAGTGAGGAGACTCACCTCAAACTGCTGAAACAACCAGAAAAATGCTCGGACTGCTGATCCGGGAAACCTCTACACTAAATATCATCAAATAATACCCTAATTAATAATTAGTTCATAAAACATAATAGGGAATCTCATTCATTTGCCCAACACCTAGGGTAAAAGACCATTTTACCCTTTCCTCACTTGGCCCAATAACCATGACCCAACCTAATGGCTCCAAAAGCCCAATATGGCCTAAATTCCTAAATGACACCCAAAGCCCATTATGGGTACAAATACAAGAAGGCCTAAAGCCTAACAATGACCCAAATTCAGAATGACTTGTGGCCGAACAAGGCCCAAAACCCTTGTAGTCTAAATATGGCCAAAAACCTAAAAGTCAACAAAAGCCAATGGTTGCTGAGTATGCCTGACGTACTCAGACTTACACCCAACGTACGCCTTCTTCGACCCGTACGAGCTGGGTACGCCCAGTGTCCTCCACAGCCAACCCAACTCACCATTAAGTGCTTAATCGGTTAAGCCATGTCCACTTCTCAGATCTGATCCTAAATCATGTCTTAACACGTAAAGTTGGCAACTTTACTCCTTTGCATGTCTTAATGGGACCCAAAACTTAATAAAATCCATAATAAGCACCCAAACTCATGCATGGTCTGATATAACTCATCAAAACTGCATTTTTTATGAATAAGGAACCTCTAAAATGCTCAGATCTATCATCCTTATCTTCTGGAGTATCTCATACTCTCATGCATGACTTAAAGGACCAGAAAAAGCACAAAAACAAGCCCTAACTAGATCTAACAAAATGAACCATCAAGTTAAGAGCTTTATACATCAAAAAGCTTTCCAAGTTGATGATGATTTTGGATCCACAAACTCTAGCCACCCTAATGCAACTTCCAAGAGTTCCTCTTCCTTCAACCTCATGACAAAAACCTTCAAAGTTCACTTCTAAGCTTGAAACACTCAAAATTAAGGTGGAGGTTGGTCATAGGAATGTCTTAGAGTGAATTAAGGTGTTTAAATAAGGCACAAACCCTAAAATTTAGGGTTTACCCCTGGTGACCGTACGACCCGCGTACTTCCACGTATGCTCAGCGTACGTGGGTTTCCTCCGCGGCCAACTTCGACCCAGTACGCCCAGCGTACTCATAGCATACGCCCAACGTACTCGGCTAGGGACTAAAAACACCAATCTTCCAAAGGCCATAAATTCTTCGTTCTAAGTCTGATTTCGACATTCTTTATATCCACGAAAAGGTAATGAAAAGCTCTACAATTCTTCAATTCTCCTTTGTCTTAAAACTTCCCGAGCATAAATCCAAAATTCATAAAATGCCCGTACTATCACTTTACGGTTATACCTTTGGGCTCCAAAACACAAACCGAACTATCGGATCACGTAATCTACATTATCCACATCCAAGGGGTCTAAATCTCTCCTTCCCCAAGTGTCATAGCCTTATAATAACTGATCTTCGGGTCACGACCCCGAATTAGGAAATGATTCGAAACAGGGTGTTTTTACCTCTCCCCCACTTAAATTAGATTTCGTCCTCGAAATCACATCCTTACCATCCTCCTGGAACCCAAACGCTTCGACCGGTATCTTGATTCCATGAATCACCAGAAAGGCTGTCTCATACTCTTAGCGACCCTCCAAGGCTAACAACGAAACCCAACCTTGTCAAAACTCATACTCCTAATGGTGAACAAATATTTGATTCCTTAAATATCAAACTTGAACCTCACTGCTACATTTCCAAAACCCCCCAAAACTTTACATGACCTCCACACAGATAGGACCATCCCGAAACATAACCACTAGGACCCCGTACTGCAATATGAGCTGAAAAATATCCTTTTGGTCCTGTATTGTCCACTGATACCTTTGACGGATAGATTCCTTAACCATAAATTAATGATGAAACGATCGTTCGACTCTCAACAGGAGTCTCACCCATTTGCCAACCTGATACATGACCCATATCCCGTTCCAAAGATTTACGCTTGCATTTAATCCAAAATATTTTGATTTCACAGTGACCTTTCACTAAACTGAGATATAAAATCCAATCTACCATTTTTACTGACAGCCTTACACCTGGTCCACCCACCAGGCTCCTACTGACAGTCTAACTCATAAAGGCTACCTTAGTCTATACATCATATAAATACCAATCATTGACCACAGAGTCCCCCCATTCTAGACATAATCCAATACCTTGCTCCAACTAATCTCCATCGAGTCTCACCCACACGATCATAACCATACAGTATCGCCCACAACTCTCACCCAGACTGCACAAATGAAAGGGCCTCACCCATGGGTCTCACCCAATCGTGTGTTGTACAGCCCTAACATTGCCTTAGATCCAACGATCCTCGTACCAACTAAGAGTAATCCTACGAAAATATTGTCTGCCTCGACCTGGGCATGCACTGATCATTCCTCAGTCCCACGATCACTCCCATAATGGCCTACCTCAATCTAGTGAACGCTACGATCCCATCGCAAACTTACAACACTTCCTTAACAACCAATTATCCTTATGTATTCTATGGCTACCCTGTAGTCTTACAATATTCCTATATCAGCCTACCAACCTTATAAATGCTACGTCTACCGTGTATTCTTACAACACTTCCATACTGCCATGGGCCCAACCCATGGTTCTACAGTTCATATACCATACCAACCATAATCATTATGAGTCGAAACCCGCTTCCGACTATACTCAATCAAATGTTTGGTTTATGCTTTGAACCCTTATTTATTCATCAGACAATAACAGACAGAGACACTCTAACACAACCCTCAACCTGGATCCATTCACATACCCACCATGCATCACTACTGATGTGGAATGAAACCTGAATATCCACTCTTGTACAACATTTAGACCAAACAATTCTCCCCCACTTGGATTTGACTGCGCTCATCCAATCCACCCAAAACTGATGGATTCCAAATCCATCCCTCAACCTTAAAATGCAAACTTGCCCTACAACCTGAGCTTGCAAGAGCTAGAATTCCATTACTAGCCAACCTTAGCTATCACACACATTCCAAAACCAGATAAATACTTCCCGAAATCTCAACGAGCTCAATAATCCCAACTACTTCCCATAATACAACTCCAAATCCTTAAGCCACTTCAGCTCGTGTCATAGAGCTATAACCCTTGACTGGAATGGACGGATCACCAATCCAACTACCTACTTATCGGAAAAACAATGCACTCTATAT